TGGGTAGAAGCAGTCAGCACAGCTACCTATTTGATCAACCATCAGTGCCTTTGAAGCACAAAATACCTGAAGAAGTATGGAGCGGGAAGATGGTAAACATTTCTCACCTAAAAGTTTTTGGCTGTGTTTCATATGTTCATTTGAGTTATCATGTTAGAAACAAACTTGACGCTAAGTCTTTGAAATGCTATTTTATTAGCTTTTGTGGTGATGACTTTGGCTATAAGTTCTGGGATGAATATAACAAGAAAGTCATCAGAAGCAGGGACGTTGTATTCAATAAAGCAATCCTATACAAAGACCGTGATGCTGTTAAGTCCACAAGCTCAGTGTACTCAGAGCATACATACTTTGAGCCAGATGATGTTCCAGAAGGAAGGAACTTTAAAGCTAGTTCCGATGAGGATGCAGGAGAAGAGGCTGAAGAAGAGATGATGGAGGAAACTACTTCAGAGGAGGTAGATGCAAAGGTTGGTTCACCCGTTAGAGAGTTGAGGCGGTCAGCAAGAGTTCCAAAGCCAAATCCAAAGTATCCATCACTACAGCCCAGAGCTCATTTGAACTACTTATTATTGAGTGATGGTGGAGAGCCAGAAAGCTATGATGAAGCATGTCGAGTGGATGATGCAAGCAAGTGAGAGCTTGCTATGAAAGGTAAAATAAAGTCCCTAAACTCTAACAAGACTTGGGAACTTGCGAAGTTTCCAGTGGGAAAGAAAGCTTTGAGTAACAAATAGGTGTACATAATTAAGGAGGAACATGATGGTTCCAAAAGATATAAGGCAATATTAGTGGTCAAAGGATTTCAGCAAAAAAAAAGAGTTGGCTACACAGAAATCGTCTCTCCTGTAGTCAAACTGACTACCATCAGATTGGTTCTGAGTATTGTTACAGCCGAAGATCTACATCTCGAGTAGTTAAATGTGAAGACAGCTTTCCTCTATGGTGACCTAGAGGAAGAAATATACATACAGCAGCCAGAAGGGTTCACTCAGAAATGAAAAGAAAGGATGGTCTGCAGATTAAAAAAGAGCTTGTATGGTCTGAAATAAGCTCCAAGATAATGGTACAAAAAGTTTGATGGATTCATGCATAGGAACAGATACTCCAGGTGCAATGCAGATCATTGTTGTTTCTTCAAGAAGCTTGACACCAGCTACATTATCTTGCTACTATATGTCGACAACATGCTAGTGGTCGGTTCAGACTTGAGTGAGATCAAGAAGCTAAAGAAGCAGTTGTCGAGTGGGTTTGACATGAAGGACTTAGGCGTAGCAAAGCAGATATTGGGAATGAATATTAGAAGAGACAAGCTCTTGGGCACATTACGGTTATCTCAGGCCAATTACGTTAGGCGGGGGCTTGAGAGGTTTAGAATGAGCGGTGCTAATGCCGTTAGCACACCTTTAGCTAGTCATTTCAAGTTGACTAAGGAGAAGTGTTCAGTGACTAATGAGGAGAAAAATTACATGATGAAGGTTCTATATTCATCAGCCATTGGAAGCCTTATGTATGTTATGGTGTACACGAGACCTGACATTGCCCATGTAGTGGGAGCTGTGAGCAGATTCATGTCAGATCTAGTAGAGCAGCACTGAGAAGAAGTAAAGTATATTCTAAGGTACCTACGAGGTACAATAGAAAATTGTTTATGCTTCAAGAGAGGTAAATTGGTTCTGTAGGGTTTTGTTAATGCAGACTATGCTGGTGAGATAGATCAGAGGAGGAGCACTACAAGATATGTGTTCACTTTGGGTTCTACAGCCATTAGTTGAGTTTCTCAGTTACAGAAGATCGTTGCTTTGTCGACTACAGAGGCAGAATATGTTGCTGTGACAGAGGCTAGCAAAGAGCTCATATGGTTGTAGGGATTCTTGGAGGAGTTAGGACAGAAAAGTGAGAAGAGTGTTTTACACTGTGATAGCTAGAGCGTCATTCATTTGGCAAAGAACCTAGCTTTTCATGCCAGGACCAAACACATACAGGTCTGTTATCACTTCATAAGTTAAGCATTGGATGATGACATATTGGAACTTGTGAAGATTCAAGGAAGCAATAACCCGGCAGATATGCTTACGAAGACTGTCACTACAGAGAAACTAAAGTTGTGTTCAACTTTAGTTAGCCTCATTACTTGATGATATGGGAGGCCGTCGCTGCAGAGAGAGGTGATAGAGATTAAAAGTTAGTCTCCAAGTGGGAGATTGTTAGGATATGTGGAGCCTAACTATCCGACTTGCTCTATACCTTGTTTTTGAAGAGGAAACATGATAAATTAGAGGAACAGGAACGGCGGTGATGAAGGTCAGGCAAAACGACGAAGGAATCAGTTTGGAGGCTTCACGGTCGACCGCGAGTAGCATGACGATCGACCGTGAACATGTACAGGTCTACGAAAAGTCTCTGGACTTTTTACGGTTGACCGCGGGATCATGTGCGGTCGACCGTGCCAAACCCTGTAATCAGATTTGGTCTTGGGATTTTTTGCAGTCGACCGCGTCTGTATCCGCGGTCGACCGTGAGTCAGTTTTTTAGGTCTGGACTCGTTTTTTTGCTAAACTGTTTTAGAATCATGTTTGTATTAACTCTTATGTTATTAAAGGGGAGATTATGGCAACTTGTAAGATTGACGAAAATAGTAAAATTTTCTCCTGCGATGGCCATGGACGTAGCTTCTCACATTGAGAAGTGAACCACGTAAATCTTGTGTGTTTTGTGTGATTGTTTTCTCTCTCTTCTCTCTCATCTCTATTTCCAAATCGCATAAGGGGTAAGATAAATCCCTATCACATACATCAATACCAAACTGCTAACATATGAAGTAGACTGAAAATTAATTTTTTTTGAATATGTTGAATCTATGATGATTGTTGAAAAGTTGGTGGATTTTAAAGTAAATGGTGTAAATTATTATTATTTATTATTAAAGTGTGCGAGTTTAAAAGAAAATGAGAGTAAAACTTCAAGTTTATAAGCAAGAATGATATCTAGCTACAGTTCGTGATTTAGCGATATTATAGCTTGAAAAAGCCAAAATATAATGATTAAAATATAGGATTTTTACTTTTAGGTCCATTTGTTTACTCCCATTTATTTTTAAACCCAAGTACTATTTTTTGTATCCTTAAGTCCAATGTACTTTTTGTATTTATTTTGAAACCCAATTCTAAAATACCATACTCTCATATGTGGGTCCCACTATTTATTTTTCTAAAATTCTAATAATAACCTTCCACTTATAACTTTCATGTAGGTGGGCCCACCTCAAATAAAATAAAAAAATGTAGAGAGAGAAAGAGAGAGAGAGAAAAGTGGCGGTAAAATTCCCTCCTCCCCTCTCTCTCCGTCTTCTATCTCTCTCCGCCTCTTCTTCTCCCTTTCTCTCACCCCATTAATATAACCGAACACTCTCCTTTAACCCATCATTTAATAACTCTCTCCTATAACCCATCAATTATTTCTCACCAACTGTCTTAGCATTTGAAGGTACAAACTTGCAATTTACTCAACTATCAAGTTTATAGCATTAATTTCTCATTTCAATTTACTCAACTATCAAGTTTATAGCATTAATTTCTCATTTTAATCATGATAATTATTTGATATGTTAGTTAAATGAGTTCATAAAAATTATTAAATTCGTCAATTTTGGTAAAATGTTAGTTAAATGAGGTTTTGTAATTAACCACCCATTAATTTCACATAATTATTTCACATTAGTTATTTCACATAATTATTTCACACTAATTTCTCATTATTCTTTATTCTTTATGAATTCATAACAATTAGTTAAATATTAGTCAAATTTAGTTAAATTTGATCTTAGTGTAGAATGATAACATGTAAGAATAGCATGAAATACAAGACTTGTAAGTATTGCACGTTAATCTGAAAGTATAGCACGTTATACTGTAAGTATACCATGTTATATTGTAAGTATAGCACGTTATCATGTAAGTATAGCACGTTAACTTGTAAGTATATCATGTTATATTGTAAGTATAGCACGTTAACCTGTAAGTATAGCACGTTATATTATAAGTATAGCACGTTAACCTGAAAGTATAGCATGTTATAGAGTAAGTATAGCATGTTATATTGTAAATATAGCACATTAACCTGTAAGTATAGCACGTTAATCTGTAAGTATAGCATGTTGATATGAAAGTATAGCACGTTAACCTGAAAGTATAGCACGTTAACCTATAAGTATAGCACGTTAACCTGTAAGTATAGCACGTTATCATGTTATCATGTAGCAGTATTTTAGCTGTATTAATTTTATGTGTCTATCTTTTGTGAAATTTTTCTCTAAATTTGTTTATTTTTGGTGATAAATATAGATGGATGAAGAATTGTATTGTGCATTGACGGATTTTAGAGGACACAATCACTTTTTAGAATTAAATGTCAACGGGGGTTACAAAGATTTGGCCGTTGCAGTGCAAAGCCTAATTGCTTGTAGTGCAAGCACGATACATTTGACTTACAAAGTACCCCACACGCAAGAAATTTATGTTCGTGTATGTGATGATGCTGATGTCTCGATAATGGTCAATGTACATCGAAGTTGCAAGGAGAATATTGTTGTCATGAACGCTGAGATGAATCGAGACATATTATTTGGGATACAAGCTAACAATGTCCATATAAGGTAATTTACACTATTGATATAGTTTCGTACTTTTAACATTATCACTTTCTTAACTCTTGTACAATTTTCTATGCAGTAATCCGTATATCCCCTCTAGTGATGAACATGTGTCTCGTTCACAAAATCCATCGTATTCACAAAATATGTCTCGAGAAGTTGAGAGCTCTAATATGATTCCTATTGCATGACACAATGCTATTAGAAGTGTTGGTCAAGAATTTGATGATGTTGAGCATTGTCGGCGGAGTTTAAGCAATTACTCTATTGCACGAGGATTTAACTTTGAATTTGTAAAAATGAACGCAAAAGGGTGACAGCAAAATGTAAGGCCACAAATTGCGAATGGATGGTTCATTGCACCCGTCGTAGAGATAGTGATCGATTCTATGTGAAAAAAATATGTAGTTCTCATAGTTGCTTGGGAGGAGGCATAGGAAAGGAAGGATATCAACGGGCATCTCGTAAGTGGAATGCTAATCAACTCAAGACCATATTGAAGGAACAACCCACTTATCGCCCAATTGATTTCCAAAAGAAGCTTAAAATGGAATTTGGTTTGGACGTCCCTTATCATAGAATTTGGTGGGGAAAAGAGCTAGCTCAACGTGATTTGTATGGTGATACTAAATTTTCATATGACCAACTCCGATGGTATAAGGATAAAGTTATAGAAACCAATCCGGGATCAATTGTTCACTTAGAGCATGAAGACGGAAGATTTACACGAGTATTTGTGTCTTATTATGCTTGTTGGAAAGGGTTTATGGAGGGATGTAGACCAATGTTGTTCTTGGATGGTACACATCTTTTTGATAGGTATGTTAGAGTTCAATCTAATAAAAACTTGCATTAATGTACTACTTCATATATTTTATACTTTGTTTCATGATTGTTCTTTTCTTTTATAGGTATAAAGGAACCTTACTTGCTGCAACTGCACTAAATGGAGATGGTGGAATATTTCCCGTAGCAATTTGCATATGCGTCACGGAAAATAAGAGTAATTGGGAATGGTTTTTAGAATGCATTCGAGACATTCTCTTCAATGATGAAGATCCATATACTCAATGCATTCGAGACATTCTCTTCAATGATGAAGATCCATATACTCCAGATGATGAACTGGTGTTAATCTCTGATAGGGACAAAGGACTTCAGAATTCCGTGAAGAAATGCTTTCCATGGTCACATCACTCTTATTGTATTCGTCATCTTTTGGCTAATTTTAAGAATAACTTATCGAAAAAAGGCATTACACCACCTTTACGAGATGAATGTGTGCAAATTATGAAGAGGTCCGCTTATGCATACACTTCTCGTGCCTATAACAATGAATGCAACGAGGTACAGAACAAATCAGAGATCGCCTATTATGAAATGTTGAGGATGAGTCCAGAAAATTGGGCTAATTGTTATTTTCCTGGGAAGAGGTTAAAATTAAAGTTTTTACAAAATTTCAAATGCAAATCTTCAAGATATATGTTCCTGCTATACTTACTATTTATTGACATGCATGTAGATATGGATGGTTGACATGAAACGTAGCGGAGTCATTCAATTCTTGGATAAAAGAAGCTCGTTATTTGCCAATTACCCAAACAATTGATAATATCCGCAAGAAAATGATGAGGATGAGTTTTGAAAGGCGGGAGGCATCACAAAAGTGGACCATAATATTTGTTCCTACTATGGAAGAGCATCTTATTCATATCAATGAGCAATCACGTTGTCTTTCTGCAATTCCTTCTACTACCGGAAGGTACAAGGTGTATGATATTCCCACCGTTGAAGTAGATTTGAATGAACGCACATGCACTTGTCGTGAATGGCAAGTTGTCGGGCTACCTTGCAAACATGCTGCGACGGTTATTCGACAGAATATGGACACCCTTTACTCCTATATTTCCCACTACTTTAGTGCGGAGACATACCACAAATGCTACTCCTTTCCGATATACCCAATTCCTGACGATGACAAGCCATATATAGATGATGAAAATATGGTGATTCGGCCACCAACAACTTCAATTCTTCGTGGAAGACCAAGGACAAAGCGCATTCCTTCGGGATTGAATCCGGCCAAAGAGTTAAAATGTAGTAGATGTCAACAGTATGGTCACAACTGTAGAATATGTAGACAGCCTATTGCAGACTAGATATAGTCTACGCTATACTTTTGGTTAGAAGACATGCTATACTTTTGGATAGAAGACATGCTATACTTTTGTCATGATTTTGTATGTATCCTATGTGTTTGTTATTAATGAAAGACATGCTAATAGAAGACATGCTATACTTTTGTCATGATTTTGTATGTATCCTATGTGTTTGTTATCAATGAAAGACATGCTATACTTTTGGTCTTTTTACTTTGTCATAATTTTGTATGTATCCTATGTCAATGAAAGACATGCAATACTTAATCCTTAACGTGATATACTCTTAATATAACAATCTAATCTCAATTACAATCTAATCTCTCTTCATTAAACTCGTAAATAGGGTCGCAAAGTGGTAAATAACAAAAGTGTATAGCACGTTAAATAACCAAGCCCAACCCAAACAGGAAAACGCGTAAATAGCATAACTGATGAGTCGACTCATAAAATTAGGAGTCGACTCATTAAATGATGAGTCGACTCATTAAATTATGAGTCGACTGGTCAGAGCCAAAATGCGAACTAGGCTTGGTTTTATGAGTCGACTCATGACAGGCACAAGTCGACTCAACCTGATGAGTCGACTCATGTATATGTATGAGTCGACTCACAGCCCGAAATCTGGATACTTTGACGTGCATTTTCCCCTGTACTGTTTGACACCTCTATTATTCTCATGATATCATACGAATCATCTACCCTCAAGCTCCCTTGAGGATCGCTAAGTTCTCCAAAGAGAAGATTATCAGCTATACTTTCGGATTAACGTGCTATACTTATATATTAACGTGCTTTACTTATATATTAACGTGCTATACTTAACGTGCTATACTTACACGATAATGTGCTATACTTACAGATTAACATTCTATACTTACAATATAACATGCTATACTTTCGGATTAACGTGCTATACTCTCAATATAACGTGCTATACTTTCGGATTAACGTGCTATACTCTCAATATAACGTGTTATACTCTCAATATAACGTGCTATACTTAACGTGCTATACCTACATGTTAACGTGCTAAACTTACAGGTTAACGTGCTATACTTACAGGTTAACGTGCTATACTTACAGGTTAACGTGCTATATACTTTCATATTAACGTGCTATACTTTCATATTAACGTGCTATACTTACAGGTTTAACGTGCTATATTTACAAGTTTAACGTGCTATATTTACAGGTTATCGTGCTATACTTACAAGTTAACGTGCTATACTTACAGGTTAACGTGCTATATTTACACGTTAACGTGCTATACTTACAGGTTAACGTGCTATACTTTCATATTAACGTGATATACTTACAGGTTAACGTGCTATACTTACAGGTTAACGTGCTATACTTTCGGATTTACGTGCTATACTTACAGATTAACGTGCTATACTTACAGGTTAACGTGCTATACTTTCATATTAATGTGCTATACTTACAGGTTAACGTGCTATACTTACAGATTAACGTGCTATACTTAAATATTAACATGCTATACTTACAGATTAACGTTCTATACTTTCAGATTTACGTGCTATACTTACAGAAATATTAACATGCTATACTTACAGATTAACGTGCTATACTTTCGGATTTACGTGCTCTACTTACAGGTTAACGTGCTATACTTTCGATATATCGTGCTATACGTACTCCTTAACGTGCTATACTCTTAATATAACGTGCTATACTTTCGATATAACGTGCTATACTTACTCCTTAACGTGATATACTCTTAATATAATGTGCTATACTTACCGATCTACGTGCTATACTCTCAATATAACGTGCTATACTTTCATATTAACGTGCTATACTTACATGTTAACGTGCTATACTTACAGGTTAACGTGCTATACTTTCATATTAACGTGATATACTTACAGGTTAACGTGCTATACTTACAGGTTAACGTGCTATACTTTCGGATTTACGTGCTATACTTACAGATTAACGTGCTATACTTTCATATTAACGTGCTATACTTTCATATTAACGTGCTATACTTACAGATTAACGTGCTATACTTACAGGTTAACGTGCTATACTTTCATATTAATGTGCTATACTTACAGGTTAACGTGCTATACTTACAGATTAACGTGCTATACTTAAATATTAACATGCTATACTTACAGATTAACGTTCTATACTTTCAGATTTACGTGCTATACTTACAGAAATATTAACATGCTATACTTACAGATTAACGTGCTATACTTTCGGATTTACGTGCTCTACTTACAGGTTAACGTGCTATACTTTCGATATATCGTGCTATACGTACTCCTTAACGTGCTATACTCTTAATATAACGTGCTATACTTTCGATATAACGTGCTATACTTACTCCTTAACGTGATATACTCTTAATATAATGTGCTATACTTACCGATCTACGTGCTATACTCTCAATATAACGTGCTATACTTTCATATTAACGTGCTATACTTACATGTTAACGTGCTATACTTACAGGTTAACGTGCTATACTTTTGGATTTACGTGCTATACTTACAGATTAACGTGCTATACTTACAGGTTAACGTGCTATACTTTCGGATTTACGTGCTATACTTACAGATTAACATGCTATACTTTCGGATTTATGTGCTATACTTACAGATTAACGTGCTATACTTTCGGATTTACGTGCTATACTTACAGATTAACGTGCTATACTTTCGGATTTACGTGCTATACTTTCATATTAACGTGCTATACTTTCATATTAACGTGCTATACTTTCGGATTTACGTGCTATACTTTCATATTAACGTGCTATACTTTCATATTAACCTGCTATACTTACAGATTAACGTGCTATACTTACATATTAACGTGCTATACTTTCATATTAACGTGCTATACTTACAGGTTAACGTGCTATACTTACAGATTAACGTGCTATACTTTCGATATATCGTGCTATACGTACTCCTTAACGTGCTATACTCTTAATATAACGTGCTATACTCTCAATATAACGTGCTATACTTTCATATTAACGTGCTATACTTACAGGTTAACGTGCTATACTTACAGGTTAACGTGCTATACTTTTGGATTTACGTGCTATACTTACAGATTAACGTGCTATACTTACAGGTTAATGTGCTATACTTTCGGATTTACGTGCTATACTTACAGATTAATGTGCTATACTTTCGGATTTACGTGCTATACTTACAGATTAACGTGCTATACTTTCGGATTTACGTGCTATACTTTCATATTAACGTGCTATACTTTCATATTAACATGCTATACTTACAGATTAACGTGCTATACTTACAGGTTAACGTGCTATACTTACATATTAACGTGCTATACTTTCATATTAACGTGCTATAATTTCATATTAACGTGCTATACTTACAGGTTAACGTGCTATACTTAGTACATATTAACGTGCTATACTTTCATATTAACGTGCTATACTTTCATATTAACGTGCTATACTTACAGATTAACGTGCTATACTTACAGGTTAATGTGCTATACTTACAGATTAACGTGCTATACTTTCATATTAACGTGCTATACTTACAGATTAACGTGTTATACTTACATATTAACGTGCTATACTTTGGATATATCGTGTTATACGTACTCCTTAACGTGCTATACTCTTAATATAACGTGCTATACTTTCGATATAACGTGCTATACTTACTCCTTAATGTGATATACTCTTAATATAATGTGCTATACTTACCGATCTACGTGCTATACTCTCAATATAACGTGCTATACTTTCATATTAACGTGCTATACTTACAGATTAACGTGCTATACTTTCGGATTTATGTGCTATACTTACAGATTAACGTGCTATACTTTCGGATTTACGTGCTATACTTTCATATTAACGTGCTATACTTTCATATTAACGTGCTATACTTACAGGTTAACGTGCTATACTTTCGGATTTACGTGCTATACTTTCATATTAACGTGCTATACTTTCATATTAACGTGTTATACTTACAGATTAACGTGCTATACTTACAGGTTAACGTGCTATACTTACATATTAACGTGCTATACTTACATATTAACGTGCTATACTTTCATATTAACGTGCTATACTTTCATATTAACGTGCTATACTTACAGGTTAACATGCTATACTTACAGATTAACGTGCTATACTTTAATATTAACGTGCTATACTTACAGGTTAACGTGCTATACTTACATATTAACGTGCTATACTTACAGCTTAATTTCTCAATAAATTATTTGTTTTTTTGTTTTTTGTTGTTTGTTGCTATTTTTTTGTTTAAAATATTTTATAAATATTTAAGCTTATTTAATCTTGTGACCTACATTGTGAGTCGGCGACCTACATTGTGAGTCGGCTCAAGGTCGAC